TTTTTCAGAAGCGACCTGGCCACAAATAATAGCTGAAACAAAGTGGATGATTAACTTTAGAATTGCCCGTGTGTTAATTTGAACACGGATGGTATGAAGTGGTTGTGGTGCAACCACACGCAACTAAATATACGAATACAATTGGTTAAATAATAACGGGACATTTTTATTGTACCTTTGAGTAACTTTTTTGTGTGTAAATCCACTGGCGTATGAGGCCATTACCACGCCGTAAAGGGTCGTGGGGATTATCTGACTATACTTCACCACGCTGGTCGATGCGGGTTATGAGGGAGCATTGAGGTTAGTAGCCTGGCAAAGAGCCTATAACACCTGTTTTGCATGCTGGTCGCCCATCCAGGAACTATCCACACCCAATTAATCTTCTTGGGTTTGAGAGATCCAAAACTATCAACCCCTTATCAGTGCCCTTATTACAGATCAATTCAGACCTTATTGGTCACCCCGTGCCCTTACAAATATCAACGTTCATCCTACAAAGTCCCATCACAAGGGAGAAACACAAAAAGACATGAGAGATTCGTTCATGAGGCTATCCACATATACAAGCACAGAGACAATTTCAACCGAGAAGATGGGTTCTGGCTTAGCAATCATTGGAAAGATTTGATAAACCATTTCAGGTCTTAATTGATTGTTCACGCTTACAGTGGCTTTCAGACAGCATACATTCATTTTTTCGTCTCCCCCGTCCTCTTTTCAGAACATAGATGGACTAGTCCTTCTAAATAAACTGCCACATCGCTGCGCGTGGCGCTGACGTTTTTTAAAATAAATAAATAAAGCCGCCGTTTAAAAATAAATAAATGTATGCAAACCGACACACCTGATGACGACCGTTTGTGTTATGGTCGAAACGTCGTGAGAATTTTTATTGTTTTATATATATTTTATTATTTTATTGTTTCCCTTCAACGTGACTTTACCGAAAGAGCTAAGAATACAAAAAAACATGTTGTTGCCCGTATCGAAATGCCTTATGGACCTGAAAACTCAATTTCCCTGTACAAGAATACGGGTATACCGTATGGGTTGACAGATATGGAGATCCGTTGCATGCCGGATGATTTGGATTTGGGTCACACGATAATTTGTATGCTTTGTATTGTAACCGTCAAGGAATGTGAACGATTTACAAATACAGGTGCATGCGCAAAAACATAAGACTGCAGATAAACTTATCCCACTTCTACGCATTGGTGTCTGGAGCGCTATTGTGCATGTATCACACCAGTGTATGCGTAACAACACAAACGCAACTTGTCAGATAATAAAATATCATCTTTATTTCAATTCGATTTCAGTCAAAGTAAAGCTGGAATACAAAAAAAGCACTGTGGATGAATCACATTAAAGTATTACAGACACGGGAGATGTATTTTAGATGATTATGGTATTCAGGGCCAAACAATTAACCTCCCTAAAGATTCAATGAATTTTGATTCAGGGTGGTAATTACGTTCAAGAATACAGGGACTCCTCTACTTACAAACGTTCGACTGACGAACTTTCAGATATACGAACAAACCTGTCCATATGTTCAGTTGCCTGTTTCGACTGAGAGTCGTAAGTTCAACTACCGCGCAATAGATGGTGATGGTTGTTCGGTGTCATTACCCAGCATTCCCAGCATTTCTGCCTGGGCTGCCACCATTTCCTGCTGTTGTTTTGTCGCTGTGCGGTTCACTACCACGTTCTCTGTGCTTTTCACGAACATTGTCAACCCCCATCAGAACATTATCAACCCATATATTGCAGAACATGAAGAATCAGTGGCATCTACATCTACAGGAGATTATACAACTTTTAAAGCCATTCTCCGTGTTTAGTGTGCATGTCGTACAACATGTTTGGAATTGACAGGAGTAAAGTTGGACTTATGAATAAATCGTCATACGAACAGACCTTTGGAACCTAATTCGTTCGTAAGTAGAGGAGTCCCAGTATTTGTTTCTCTCTCTCAACATTGTGGCGAATGTTTTAACGGCCTCTGCAGGATGGAACGATCACATTAACCAATACCTGTACAGACATCCCTCACACAACGCTCCACTTGCGTTACTGAAAAACTGCACATAAAACGAATCGCACTGTACGAAGCCTATTTTCCCATAGACATGCATGTTATAAGGGGGGGTTACGTTACCGAAGAAAAATAAAGTATCATTTCATTATTTCAGCCCTGAATCTGAGATGGCTAAGTCCAGCCCATGGCACTGGGAATTGTCAATGACGCCATCAGAAATATATTTTTGTTATTCGAATTTTTACCATTGAAAATCATGTTTTATCTAGAAATGCTTTTCTTGAGCGCGTAACTGTGGAAAACATAGCGTAGGTGTGAAGTATGAAGTATATCCCAAAAATATGACGACAATCCGCAAAGCCATCACCCCAACCGTGAGGAAGGAACCATCTGAAGATCCCATCAAAACCATCACCTTACCTTACATAGCAGGGATAACCAAAACGATTTCCAAAATTTTGAACAACACAAGATACAGGTCCGATTTAACACAGTGCACAAAATTCGTGACCTGATCCCATCTGTGAAGGACAAGATTCCTGACATGCAATATGCCGGCATTTACAAACTAAGCTGTATCTGCGGCAGCAGTTACATTGGGGAAACCAAACGACATGTCTGGGACTTTGTTCGTGAACATAAGGCAAATCTGAAACACGGCAGGACCAATACTTCTGCCGTGGCTGATCATTACCTTAATGCGGCTGGCTCACGTGAAATGTATTTCTCTAAGACGATGGTACTTTGCAAGCCGACTGGCTACCAACAAAGATTCGTTCACGAAGCCATCCATATATACAGACACAATTTCAACCGAGACGATGGTTTAAAACTCAGCAATCGTTGGAAAGATGTCATCAACCACTTTGGGTCATGACTTGATTTGTGTTTTCTTGTCCTCTACCGTCAGCAGTGTGGATGGGTCGAGCGAGGTGCAATGCCCCCCCCCATCTCTACCCCCCCCCCCCCCATCTCTGCCCCACCCCCTCCCTCTCCCCCTGTCTCTGCCCCCTTCCTTCCCCCCCCCATTGTCTGCTCCTACATTAACGCTGGCTGACTGGCTGCCCCGCCCATGCTGTTTGCGCTGCACAGGCTCACCTCTGCCCAACTCCCCCTTTGCTTTGCTCCTGCATTCGCGTGCTTCTTGCTCAGCTCATTGTAAGCACCTACATTTGGAGGCTTGCCCCCTCTTTTCTCTCCGCCTGATGAAGACCGCTTGTGTTGGGATCAAGACGTCGTGGGTTTTTTTTGCTTTTATTATTTTCAATTTCGATTTAAAGCTTTCGTGACTGCAGGGATTCATCTTCTTGGTTCCCCAGATTAAAATACGCTGCCACGCTTAGCAGTGTTCATTGGAACGCTGTCTTTCTGACAGTTCTGTTTCTTCACCTAAGGACGGCTGCTTGTGTTGTGGCCGAAACGTCGTGAGAATTTTATTTTGTCTTCTTTGGTTCTTTCGGTAAAGTCACGTAGAATGAGAATAAAATAATAATTTGATAAAATAAAATAACACAATAATATTCTCACGACGTTTCGGCCACAACACAAGCGGCCTTCATCAGGTGAAGGGGGCGAGACTGTCTGGTAGGACAGCGCTGGAGTGAGAGAGCCACGTTCAGATCACGGCTTTTTAAGCTGTGTGAGAGGAACAAAGAGCCTTGACGAAGGAATTAGCATAAAATTTTGCATTGAAATGGCTGAATGATTAGCTTGTGACTGGTCACAGAAATAGCTATGTTAAAAGTTAAAGCATACACTTCCCCCCCCTTCACCTGATGAAGGCCGCTTGTGTTGTGGCCGAAACGTCGTGAGAATATTATTGTGTTATTTTATTTTATCAAATTATTATTTTATTCTCATTCTACGTGACTTTACCGAAAGAACCAAAGAAGATGAATCATTGCAGTCACGAAAGCTTTAAATCGAAATTTAATTTTATTTTGTTTTATTTTTATTATTTTATTATTTCCCTTCTACGTGACTTTACCGAAAGAACCGAGAAGATATTTTCAATTTATTTTTATTTTGTAATTTTATTTTACTATTTTCAGTTTTTATTTTTGTGGGTTTTTTGCTTTTATTATTTAAAATGTATTCTTTTGATTTTATTTTTGTAATTTTTTATTTATTTCATTTTTTCCCTATTTACGTTACTTTACCGAAAGAACAAAGAATATTAATTGCGTAACTACAAATTCACACGATGGTGGGGCGGGGGGGGGCCCAATAAAAAAACACATGACATCTTATACAAGCAATTCATTGTGTGTATTGTTTAGCTTGGGAAAAGTAATCGATGAATTGATGCATTGTTATCCATGAAAATAACATTTGAGTCAGGTATGTACAGGACAGCGACACGGGAAATATATCTGCACCGTGCACACTATATCCAGTGTACATATCGCTATGACTCTGGCTGCTAATCACAAGCCGAGTCTACCAGTGACCCAGAAAATGTTCAGTGTGATATTAGGGTCTGTGCAGATTCAAGCACAGGTGGTACAGAAGTTTGGGATATTCACGTGGTCTTGGATGCCACCCACTGTGAATGCAGGACACCTCAGTGGCTTGCTCGCAGTTCGTTAAGCCATCCCAGTCCAGCCACCGTGCTCTCTGCACAAGTGGAAATTCAAAAAGGCAGATATACAATACGATAACATCTGAATAAGGGATGCTACCATGGTGTTATGGTTAGCACATCGGACTTTCAATCAAGAGTACATGTGCCCTCCTTAACATTTGATCATTTAAAGTTGGGCAGGGTAATTAAAGTAGCCAAGGGGGGTTCATAGATGGCTATTGTGGAGGGAGGGAACTCTTTATGGCCTGATCCCCCTCTCAGTAAGTCGGTCGGATCTTTCCTCCCCTATTCTGTAGTCATTTCATGTTTATAGCAGTATTATTTTGAAATTCCCTAAGCACGCACCAAGTCTGGGCAGCGAGTACTCACCTCGTGGCGTGTACTCACAGCCCACGTATCCCTGGTAGCCGAGTCCCTGGAGGAGGTTGAAGATGTAGGAGTAGTTGATCTCCCCTTGGCTGCTTGGCTCATCTCGGTTAGGAACCTGAGCCACCTGAATATGACCTGGGTGATGAATGAATGGGGAACTTAAAACACATTCATGCCTGTAAAGCTCAAGGAGAGACATCGTGGCGAGCCTCTATCTAGCAGTCGATAGACAATGGCTAATTGCAATGACATTGAAAGTCAAGGACACAAATCCAGAGGGAAAAAATGTTTGAAAGCAAAATGTTCTTAGAAAATAAGTGGAGTAAAAGATATATATCAGGCAAATGCCGAAGAGCAAGTCACCCGTAACGCACCAAATCTCATCAGATCTCGGAATCTAAGCAGAGTTGAGCCTGGATTGTGCTTGTATGGGTGACCAACATGCATGCAACAGGTGCTGTAGACTGCTGTGAAGCCTCTTTGTTAACAAAAGGCAGTGCAAAAAAAATCCGTTGCTTTTCTGTATTTTCCATGCTGCCACATATATGCTCCCTCCCTCCACCAACCTGCACAGCCCAGCATGGTCAAGTATGGTCGACCCGCACATGCATTTGAGACCCTCCTCATCCAGCAGTGGATTGTGCATGTACATCATGCAACTACATTCGTGCTTTCATTAGTCTACAAACCGATGTGCAGGGATTCTTCGAACTTCATTGCCTACGCAGACATTCCCTGTGCACGCGCACATTCACGGAATACATAGGAGCTAAGTTATATTAAATGTAGCCGTGGCTGAACAAATCAGCGAGGATTTGACAAGTGCAAGGTGTGCGAAAGAGCATGACCTATTGTATGATATTGCTAGTTAGGACGTCGGGGTCAAAATATGAAAGGCTGATGTCTTCAACCCGAGTGCCATAATGCATTCACATTGCCACTGCGAATAATTCGGGCACACAAGACATGCAATAATGAAAAGCTGAGTTAGGAATGTCACAAACGTTCCATTTTTGCACACCTTAGATATATAGGACACTGTTTTCTTTTAGTTCGCAGACATTTTTACGGGCGCGCGCATGCCTAATGATTAATCAACATGAAGGAGGCCAACGGTTATGGGAATAGCTCTTACACAGTTGTAGGAGCAAGTGATAATTGCTTGTGTGCACAGCCGCACATCTGAGTATGAATCAAATGAGCTCAGTTACATCTTGGCAATTTTACATTCCCCCCCACTAATTACTGCAATTCCTACCGATCGTTTTGCACTCACGTTTCATCTAAAAATAGCAGAGGACGTATTTTTTTCAGTTAGGGGTTGAATGTAAGGTCTTTCTTCAAAAGAGGCGGCGTGTTTTTTTTTTATGCAAAGCAGCCAATCTGCACGGGCAAACATTTGACATCATAATAATAGCGAAAGTATAGGCCAATATATACATTAACATAGTGCACACTCAGGTCAGCCAATTAACACTACGCACAGTGGGGAAGCACGCATCATTACCTCATGTGGAATAGGTTACATATTGAAATTATGGCTTTCCTTTTTTTATATATATACCGCATGCCCACACAGGCCGCATGATTGCAGCAACGCATTATGAATGTAGGAGTGAAGGGGAGCGGAGAGCAGCTGATTTATACCGATGAGTGGGAAGAGTGCACGGATGTTGCCCGTGAGATTTCCGTCCATGACTTGGCAGTGGAAGATGTCCTGCAGAGGAAGAGGCCAACAGCCCAGACAAGTTAAACCTTCATGTTTGCGACTGTGGTTGGAAGATTCGCTAGTCACCAGCTTGTGCATTTTGTACAATGTTGTCAGCAGCGACATCTCAACAATGCTCGCCCTCAGGTCCGTATCGTTTAATAGGCACAGCAGGAACTGTGCCGAGGGCCTACAAAAAAAATAAAAAGGGCTGACGGAAAAAAACATTCTGAACATGTTTTTTGTTTCCATGATAAAAAAATGTAACCAACACATTTTCTGGAATAAACATATTTATATAGCACGAATAGGCATGGTGTATTTTCAATGAGAAAGAGTCATGTCAATGCCAATAGTTTTTTTTTCTCATATGGTGAGAGAAATTAACACCGGAGATGAACTTTTCGCGATTTCTTTCATTGCAAAAATGACCAAATAACAGCCTCAAATGGTGGTTTTCGTACAATCTCATTCACAATACAGAGTATTAGCGCGAGGGGAGACAAGGCGACATTGTTGTCCTATGTGTGAAACAAGCGGAGTAACAGCGGCGATAATAACATGGGGCAGCATCAGTACCCATTGTAGAAAATGATCACTGAAGGCCTATGAAACAGAAGTGCCTAAGGCCTACAAGAACCTTAATCCGGCCCTACCAATCGTAGAAAGTACCAACGAAAGTCGGCGTGCACCAAGCAAAGTGACAGCGGTGGTAGAAGTAGTAACATGAGCAGCAGTACCAGCCTGTAGGAAGTGATCACTGAAGGCCTACGAAACAGAAGTGCCTACAAGAATGTTAATCCAGCCCTGCCCGCACCATCATGTTTTAAGGCACTACAAGTTTATTTCGGCAGTGAACACATAAGAGCCACAGAAGTATAATGTTGTGAAATGTTTAATATATTATCTTTTAAGAAAAATCAATGCAAACAGATTCCCAACAAAACAAGGGCTTATACCACACAATGAATACAAGAACATTATTACGTGTATGAGATGGACATGATTATTCTGGCTTTGACGATGCATCAATTCATATTTAATATTAATGTTAAAATATTAAGCTCTCAAGACATTCGTTAAATTGCATGCGGAGGAATCGATTATTTTGGTTTCATATACAGTACCTCGTAATAGGTTCACATCACCCTTGCTGCTACTCGTGGCCACTACATTCATTCCATCAATAAAAATAATACATTCTTTGTACTCCGTGAATCATGACAATCCATTGCATTGAGAGGGGAATGAATCGTCACAGGCCTATAATGAGGGTATTTTGTTGGCAATGGTGTGCATATGCGGTGTGTCGCAAAGCCACGCACAAACCGTAGACGCACCAGCTGAAGCTTGATGTTGGGTTTATCGACTTTTTCCAGGATGCGTGCGGCTAGGAAAATACCACAATGTGGAGAAAGATTTAGAGTGTATGAGCCCCCCCGGCCACATGATTTGTATTTGACACTTGAAATGAATACCACCGTATCTTATTATTGTAGTATTGATGATTTAGCGTCGGGTATTGGATACCATATCCCCCCCCCCACACTGCCCTTTCTTTCATCTCCTCCTTCATCCCCCCACTTTGGCTCTACAGACCAAATTGAGGAACGACATTTATTTTATTATGCATTAAGCAACTGTATACCGTATAATATAGCTTCACAGTCTTCTGATTGCGTTATTTTTGTGTACTACACATTCAATATCTGTGAACAGATTGCAGAGAATTTGTCGGATCTCTGAAGATCTTAGATGCTTAGCAGGGTTGAGCCTGGATTGTGCTTTGATGCGGGCCCACCATGCATAAGTCAGGTGTTATAGGCTGCTCATGGGCTATGTTTCAGTTTATTTCAGTTTATTTATTTGGTATAGCCCTGTGAGCCATTCGGCTCTTGAATCGGGTGCAACCGCAACAAACAAAAAACACGAACAAGAAAACATCTTAAAGTGACTATGTGACTGCGCAAACAGAAAATCCATGGAAAAAAACAGCAAAATATTCCTGAAAAAGCACCGTACACCAACGGTGTGTGCAAAAATCCCAGTGGGATACAAGTCAAACAACAACAACCACAAGAAAACTTAGATTAAGGCCAACAGTCTAACTCCATACTACAACAAAACAAACATGTCCAAACCAAAAAAGTTTTCGAAATCACCAAAAAATAAAGCCATAACAATGATCATAGGGACTGTGACCGAATTTTTAACAATGAACTACATAAATAACATGTAACACCAAACCCTAGAGCCATAGCTGGCTGTATGAGTTACTCCACAACAACAGAAGCATCAGTCGGAGTATAAAATTTTTCAATGCACCTTTAAGATCAGCACGCTAAATCAAAATACAGATAATACTTTGCAGCGTCATTCGGAGTGAAACATTTTATTTCATTTAACGCCAATGAATAGCAGTGGCAGCTAGGGGTGTACAACTCCTCTACAGCAGTTTTGAGAGAAGATCTCACTGGTAGCGATTCAAGTTGCAGTTTATTGGCAACATCATTCCAGACCCTGGGGGCATCAATAGCAAAGGCCCTTCCTCCAGTTTTTGTACGGCAATAGGGAATGTAAAGCTGGTAAATGAGCGAAGACCTGAGGTCAAATTTGTACTTTGAAACAGATAGGAGATCTGCGGATTTTTTTGTAAGTACATCGTGAATAAATAAGATTTGGTGCACAAGCCGTTGAACATTAAGAGATGTTAAGTTTGACCCAATGTAGAGATCACAGTGGTGAGTCCTTTATGGACAGTTCAATGTAAATCTTAAGGCTGAGTGATAGATGGAATCAAGCTTCTTCAGTACAGTACTTGCAGCAGAGAGCAGTGTCAATTCAGCAAAACCCATTTTGCTTCTAAACTACGCTCCCTGCATTCATCATTTTGCTTAAAGGTGCATTGAAAAATTTGATATTCTGACTGATGCTTCTATTGTTGTGGAGTAACTCATGCAGCCAGCTATGGCTCTAGGAATTGTTATTTACGTAGTTTATTGTAAAAAAATCCGGTCACAGTCCCAATGATCACTGTTACGTTGCAATTATGGCTTTATTTTTTGGTGATTTCGAAAGTTTTTTTGTTTGGACATGTTTGTTTTGTTGTAGTACGGAGTTAGACTGATGGCCTTAATCTAAGTTTTCTTGTGGTTGTTGTTGTTTGACTTGCATCCCACTGGAATTTTTTTGCACACAGCGTTGGTGTACGGTGCTTTTTTCAGGAATATTTTGCTGTTTTTTCATGGATTTTCTGTTTGCACAGTCACATAGTCACTTTAAGATGTTTTTCTTGTTCGTGTTTTTGTTTGTTGTGGTTGCACCCGATTCAAGAGCCGAATGGCTCACAGGGCTATACCAAAATAAAGAAACTGAAAAATCACCCGCATGGATCAATGTGGTCAAATAACCCTACGACCCACAAGGCCCTCATCCAGCAGTGGATTGATAAAATGGGCTGTTCCACGTACGGCTAAATATGTAATCTCCATACAAGGCATGCATGCCTACTCTACAACAAAGCCACTCTCCTGTGAGCAAAGTCGGCCCTCACCCTGACGAGGCGTGTCCAGGAAGTAGCGAGGGTCGGTGAGCTTGCTGTTGATTGGCTCAATGAGTCCAGTCATCCCTTCCTGGCCATTCAGTACAGGCGGGAACAACGCACACCAAAACACACACACACCAACCAATGTATCGGGAGAAAAAAGTGTAGTAACGTTATTGTGACGGAGATTGATGCAATGCCATGCAAGAACACGCAAGATACGAGTGTCGCAAGATGAGCAGCTACAACATTACTGAAAGGTATACAAAGAGCCTCTGACAAAATCAGAGGGAATGTGCCCATCAGATATATCACACATTCAAAAGTTTAATTCCTGCGTAAAGCCCATTGAGCGATACCACTATTTTCCAAGTGCGGCTCGGCAGGGGCGGAGCCAGGGGGGTGGACAGGGTAGACAATTGTCACCCCCGAAAAAAAATAAAAAATCTGAAACATTCTGCGTATAAGTGTACGACACTCGGTCTGGCGGACTCCGTGCAACTGCATTGTCAGAGTGTGTCGCCAACCGATGGCGTCTAGCTAAACAGCCTGACTCTCTAATCATTCTTGATATTAACATTTGTTGAATGTCACCCCGGGCTGAAAATCCTGGCTCCGCCCCTGCGGCTCAGCATATAGTAAGCTAAAGCAGGGTTGAGCCTGGATTGTGCTTGTATGGTTGACCGCCATGCACAAACAGGCTGTCATAGGGCTGCGGGGCCAAGGTGAGGCCGGCAGAAGGACACTGCTGCAAAATCTATCGTTGTACTTCATATTCTCACACATCTATGCTCCCTGCCTTTACAAACCCTCACCGAGCAACTGGGTGAAGGGTAGTCAAAATGCCCCACCGCTCGCACGGTGTGTGAAGACCCTCATCCAGCAGTGGACTGACAAAACGGCTGTCACAAGTGTGCAGACGCACTGCTTCAAATGTGTAGCCTGAGAGGGGATAATACACACGGGGATGGAGCTGCGGTTGGCCGCGCGGATTGCCCACAGTCGCGCAGCGCTTTCATAAACGTGGTTTGCAAGAAATGTTCCGGAAGGGGCACACACCACTGCGAGCAGGTCAGAGGCCGTGAGAAGGTTGCGCACGAGCGTCGCCTCCATGGCAGGGCCCTGGGCCTCGCGAGCCACTCCGGGCGGCAGCCGGCCCGACAACAGGTGGACCCTGCGGAGGATGCACGCCGCACGCAAGGCATCGGGCGTTTCGTTTCTGCGTGCCGGGAGAGCGCCTCCGCAATCGTCCGTTCCGTGTTCTCGAAGAGGCGTCCCGGGCAAAGCAGAAGGAACTCTGGTTCACCGGGTTCACGGTGCGGTGTGAGAACCACATACACGCAGGCGAAAATTGGGCTCATTGATTTGCGTGCAACCCATCGGGATGCTTGTGTCAGCTCAAGTGTGCGAATTGTTGCCAGGGTGACAGGCGGAAACCAATCTACACGGGGCTCAGAACACTTGCAGAACCTGTGACTAGTGCAAGGGCTCCTGGGTGTTTCCTAGCGACGGACACTAAGAAATAATAATTTATTGGGCAGTGATGACACACAGCGTTGTGGCTCTAAGGCTTTACGGAGTGAATGGAGCGACTATGCGGCAGAGCTGTCGGGGTCATTGGGCCCAGCACCTGTCACACTTCAGAGCTTTGGCGTGAGCGATCGCGGTCTGAAGGGACTCCAAGAAGTCTGCCTGACGGCCCGGGAGGGCTCCCAGACCCATCTCGCCAGCCGCCACGTCCCCTGCACACAACCAGGATGTTAAGTTCGGGCGTCAGTGGTAAGAGTGGCGTTCCACCTGTCGAGGCGTCAAACACCATTCACTTTCTCCAAAATGTTCTAGACCTGGGATTATGAGTGAATCGAGTCAATTAATCGACTGTCAGATTAGACTTCGTTTTTTTCTCCGGCCGTTTACTCTGGCCCCTTTTAAAAATAGCGGCCGCCCGACATCCTGTCTCCTGAAGGCGGGAAACCCCCTACAAGCCACGCCCAGCATGGCATGCCTGATGATGCCGATGACATTACCGTCACTTTCCATCCAATAGCACGCACGTAGGTGGAAACGTGTTCCCCCTAATGTATTACATTCGTGTTATCTGATTCATCAAGTAATCGAACTGATAATCAGCATTGTAATTACTTAACAAATCAGACATCCCTGCGTTAGAGTACTGTAATTCACTTTCGATGCCCCCCCCCCCCCCCACGTATTGACCAATCTTAACTCTCAACCCCCAGCAGGGGGCGATGCGTCCAAGCAACTTAGCAACTCCCGTGCGCTCCTCTGCGCGTCAAAGCGCCCTGGGGGCATTACCATTAAACACCACGCCTCCTATAAAAGCGCCCTGGAGGCATTAACCATCACCCACGCCTCCTCTAAAAGCGCCCTGGGGGGATTAACCATCACCAACCACGCCTCCTCTAAAAGCGCCCTGGGGGCATTAACCATCACCCACGCCTCCTCTAAAAGCGCCCTGGGGGCATTAACCATCACCAACCACGCCTCCTCTAAAAGCGCCCTGGGGGCATTAACCATCACCCACCACCTCTAAAAGCGCCCTGGGGGCATTAACCATCACCCACCACCTCTAAAAGCGCCCTGGATGCATTAACCATCACCCACAACGCCACTTCTAGAAGCGCCCTGGATGCATTAACCATCACCCACCACCTCTAAAAGCGCCCTGGGGACATTAACTATCACCCACAACGCCACCTCTAGAAGCGCCCTGGATGCATTAACCATCACCCACCACCTCTAAAAGCGCCCTGGGGACATTAACTATCACCCACAACGCCACCTCTAGAAGCGCCCTGGATGCATTAACCATCACCCACCACCTCTAAAAGCGCCCTGGGGGCATTAACCATCACAAACCACGCCTCCTCTAAAAGCGCCCTGGGGGCATTAACCATCACCCACAACGCTTCCTCAAAAACGCTTTACGCAATGTGGCAACCCATGGCTGGAAACAACAGCCTCGCCATCCAACTTTCCAACCTTCCACCACCATCCGAACCACGGCTCAGATTTAAAAAAAAAAAACCGCAGGCGCGTGGGCCCCTTCCCCGATGGATGCGGGATTTGGTATTTGCATCGGTCTATCATCATCATCAACTTCCCGTCGTCCCGAGCCACACATTCCGCACCTCGCGGGCTGTTGATGAGCGCTACGGGCAGGGCAGGCGGCGGCGGCGGTCGAGGTGTCTCCTCTGGGCCGCCTGCTCGCCCCCAGTAGCCGTAAGGGTCGGGAATTTCCACGGCATCGAAGCCAGCCGCCTTGGCCGCCTCGCACCGAGCCGAGATGTCGGCCTCCCCCTCCGTGAAGAGCCAGCCTACGTTGGCGGCGAAGCGCAGAGGTGGAGGAGGCATGACGGGCGGACGGGCGTGCAGGAGGAAGGGACCGGAGTGGCCGTTAGGGGGCGCAGGGTCGAGTGTGGCGTTTCTGTTGGGAGGGGAAAAATAAAGTGACAAGGCAGCTGGCAAGCGAGTCGACAAAGTGAGCCACAAGCGATGCCGGATTAAGCTCGTGCGGGGCCTGTAGCATCTGTTATAAAGAGTCCATAAATTAAAAAAACACATTTAAACACAAATGTTTAATTGGAACAGTAAAGCAATTGTATTTTTTCATTTGCTATACAGACAGATAATAAGACAAATCGCTAACCTTAAACACCCAGTCGCTCATAAAAGTTGAAGGCAGTATAGTACTATAGTGATAGAGCAAGTGCAGACTCACCGAACCGGAGTCGATAGCTTGAAAACATTTAGCTCGGGGCCCTTGAAAGTGCGGGGCCCGTAGCTACTACTACATATGTAGCTACTACTACTGCATGTGTAGCTACTACTACATGTGTAGCTACTACTACTACAAGTGTAGCTACTACTACTACATGTGTAGCTACTACATGTGTAGCTATTACTACTACATGTGTAGCTACTACTACATGTGTAGCTACTACTACTACATGTGTAGCTACTACTATATGTGTAGCTACTACTAATACTGCTACATGTGTAGCTACTACTACTACTACATGTGTAGCTACTACTACTACTGTGTAGCTACTACTACATGTGTAGCTACTACTACATGTGTAGCTACTACTATATGTGTAGCTACTACTACTACACGTGTAGCTACTACTGCACGTGTAGCTACTACTACTATACGTGTAGCTACTACTACTACATGTGTAGCTACTACTGTGTAGCTACTACTACTACATGTGTAGCTACTACTACTACATATGTAGCTACTACTACATGTGTAGCTACTACTACTACATGTGTAGCTACTACTACTACTGTGTAGCTACTACTACATGTGTAGCTACTACTACATGTGTAGCTACTACTATATGTGTAGCTACTACTACTACACGTGTAGCTACTACTGCACGTGTAGCTACTACTACTATACGTGTAGCTACTACTACTACATGTGTAGCTACTACTGTGTAGCTACTACTACTACATGTGTAGCTACTACTACTACATATGTAGCTACTACTACATGTGTAGCTACTACTACATGTGTAGCTACTACATATGTAGCTACTACTACTACATGTGTAGCTACTACTGCATGTGTAGCTACTACTACACGTGTAGCTACTACTACTACATGTGTAGCTGCTACTACTACTACATATGTCTCTACTTTTGCTACTGGGATAATCCGGCACTGGCCACAGGCGAACATAATTAAACGTCAGGCCGGTATCCTGGAGTTTATAGTTCATGGCCTCGCATCGGCCAGTCACGAATATATTTCACGTGGCAGCACTGGCCACATTGAATCTCACGGGATGTGTCCGGTCTCGTGAGGTGTTGGAAGCTGAAGCAGCGTTGAGCCTGGATCTACTTAATTAAATATACTTTTTAATAAATGTTTTCTCCTACAACATCAGAGTGCAGCGCCACATTAAATACGCACTACAATGACAATAGTATAAAGCGATTTGAAGCATGTTTTATTGGGGGGGGCAGAGCTTTGTGACGTCATATTTGAGGGGGGGGGGTCTGACTTTTTGTGACACCGTGTGACGAAGGGGGGGAGGTCAAAAATCGTCCAAAATCGCGTGACGTCATTTATGGACGACCCCTTAGATGAGTCGACCACCATGGATGTTGCGAGGCGACATTGCTGTTCCCTTCACAGCCCGCAGTGCGTGAAGCGGCGAAGTATGGTCAAAGTAAGATCGTAATCACTGGGTAAATGAAATTCCTATTATTGTTGACAGTACCCGTTTCACAATAATTCACAGTCATTTGTCCAATCACTGCCGAATGAAGGGCTTCCCACGCCGTGTCGGCCATGGGGGTTGTTGCGTAGCGGTCAACACCAGTGACAATAATGTAAACCGGTCCTGGGCCTCCCTTAGGTCGACTCAGCCTCAAATGACTACCTGGTGGCTGGGCGTGGTGCTGATCACCCCTCGTGTGCCGTGCCGTCCTTCAGAGATAAATGCAGCACCTGCTCCACAATGTGTAGTGACAGGGTCCCGCTTGTCGGCCTGGATGGGTAATCACGGGTATGGGTAAGGTTATGTAACAACTAATCAGAAGGGGGGCGTATCTGGGTTAAAGGTTAAAGGTGGGGTTAGTCGGGAAGCTCCGGGAACCTGCTCGAAGGTTCTGGAAGGGGGCGGGGCCTCTGGCCACGCCGAGAGGTATATAAGGAGGATGGAGCCGAGGGTTCCGGGTTGTTGTGGGGTCCCGGGTCCTGGCTGCGTCGCTGCTCGTCGTCATCTCTCGCCGCCGTCGTCTGGTCGCATGGAAGATCCTCCGCACGGCTCCCATCGCCGCCATCGTCACGCTAGTCAGCCAGCTGTGTGGTTGGATGCAGGCGATGGGACTATGTAGAGAGGTCGGCTGTGCGTAGCTAACGTTGAGACGTATATAAATTACCCAGTGTTGTGCCCAGTGAGAAGAGACGTGTATATGCATTGGCCTGTGCTGTGCCCAGTGTGAGAATAAATAAGCCCTCTGCACGACGCGTCTCATTACAAATGTATTCAGGCTATAGGGGGGGAGGGGGATCTCTGTCTTTGTACCATACGTCACTGTTCAGAGTGGCTGAGAATAACACTCGGGTCTCTTGGCTCACAGTTTTAGTGCGCTCACCACAGCGCCAATGCCACAACAATCGTGATGCCTTCTTAAATCGTGGATATTTACAGTACACGCCACTCGTGTAGAAATGTAAAAGTTTCGAAAAAATGTTTACAATACAAAACATGGAATAGATCGCCTAGTTATGAACATTTTACGAAATAAAAAAAAGTTCGGTTAGAAACTTTTAAATAAACATTGTTAGTATGTATAGTGTTCAGATTGTATCGTAAGCTTGGCGTGTCTGCATGCAAATTTATTTTGCAGTTAAGGCAATAACTTCACAACAACTGGGTTTCGTCTTTCTGCAGTGCGCACAAAGTGAGTCCTGATGGGGTGAATAAAGTTTTGCTCTTACCTCGTAACACGTTTGCGTTAATAATTCCACAACTTGCAATCACATTGTCTTCTGAGCACGAAATGCGCCTGATCTCCGAATAATTAAGCTATTTAGGTTTGAGCCTGGTCAGTCCTTGGATGGGGCCTTCTCGGTTTGGTTGGGTGTGGGGCTGCGAAGTAACCAGAGGTTGCAGTTCTGAGTGTCACACCGTCAAATGCGTGAGCGATCACCTGGGTAGCAGCTCCTGTCTCCTCCCAATATTAAGCAATACATTTATGGAAATTGCAACCGCAGGACTCTTCTGAAAATGAGTATTGAAACTCAAAATGTACCTCGGTAAATACCGTTATTTGCCATCAGAATATGTATCTATACTGGAGGAATCCGATGAGCTCTAAAGCTCTCTTTCACAGATGTCCAGGAGAGGCGGTTAAGAACGTTACAACCACAAGCAATGCAATAATATGATCGTAGTGCCAAGTACAAGCAAGGTAAATAAATCACCCAAACGCATACAAATACAACAACTAAACCATCCCCATACTACCAGGCAAAGCCCACTGAGGTATTCACTTATTTTTCAGAAGCAACCTGGCCACACATGATAGCTCAACAAAGTGGCCCATCATTTGGACATTTAGAGCAGCAGCATTATCATCATTTTCAACAAACGTTTCACGAGACGTTTATCCTCTCTGCAGGAATTGTATTTTTTAAAAATCTTACATTTTCCTACGCGATTAAACATGTGCCTGAGCAGTGGTATGCCTATCAATTGTGTAAGGCGGTGCAATTGTACTGAGGCCCTTCCGGTTAGAGGGGTCCAGGTGCTGGGGATACGAAGATGGGAGGGGGTGGGGGGGAGATTGGACAAGGAGCTCCTTTTGATTCCTTGCATCAGGGACCCATGTCATGCGCGCTACACTGCTGTCTGCGAGGCAGTGCTTGTTAATAACATAATATATCATGTATATTTATAGCCTTATTTTAAGCTGCATTGCTCAGAATCTTACGTAAAGTGCTGCCCTGGTTTTATGTTGCGTCGCTGAATGAATCGCATCTGAATCGCACCACATTGTGCTCAGGGTCGACTCAAGGTACCCTTGAAACCACAGTTACCGAAGGGGTCCTTGTGAGCAAATGCGTCATCCTTCCCCCTCCCAAAGCCACCCTCCCTCCGCTCCTACAAGCTACACTCATCATAAACCCTGGGGCCCATTAGGGCCCTCTTTTTTCTTTTACCCCCGGCGGGTGGTGGGGGCTGAAATTGCTTCTGCTCACCCTACGTGGGGGGTCTTCCAGACAATTGTTTAGAGATGAAATGGGTTAATAGTGGAATACAAAAAAACAGAGGTCACTTCGTCGTGGAATCGATTCGATTTCCTTTATTTAACTCAGAGGGGAGGGGGTGGGCAATTGAAATTCATTTCCCCATTTTTGAAGGGAGACCTGTTCACACGCCTCCTTTGTGTGATCATTTAATAACGTAAGAATGATTTGTAAAAAAGAAAAACGTTTTTTTGCAAGGACCTACTCACATGCATTGCTCACGATCCTATTTGAAAGAAAATTGAACGAGACCTCATAAGTATAACAAATGACGCATTCTGGAGGAGCGCCCGCGACACTGGTGACAGTTGCCTACACCTAAGGCGACCTCGCATGAGACCCGCTGGCCTAGAAATCTGCGCAACCAGACATTGATTAGACCCAAATTATAGCCCAAACAGAATTAATATGCTTTTTAAAATCTGGGATTAAAAGGTTTTTTTTTCTTTTCGTATTGCTCACAGTTAATTAGAAAAATTGTATTCACAGTGTGTGTGTGTGCTTTAACATAAATTCACTCGAAACTGCGCATATTTCTGATGTTTTACTTTCCAGGATGAATCATTTGCCACCACGACATGTATGATTTGCCACAAACCAAAAGCACATTCTCAAGAGCATTCTGTAAGACCTGATTTAATACAGATTCCCTTGGTTCAATTAGCCCATGCATGCGGGAATGAGTTGAAATGTTACCTTTTACTCGGGAGTGAGTTAAAATGTTAACTTTTACTCGGGAGTGAGTTGAAATG